CATCTGGCGACTCCCCGGGGGGAGGGCCTTCTCTGTAGCCGCTCCGACCCTATGGAACAATCTACCTCCAGAGATCCGGATCTTGCCCACTCTCACGGCCTTCCGAAAGGCTACCAAAACCTGGCTATTCCGGCAGGCCTGCATATTCCAGCCCCGCCTAGATTGAGTGCATGAAGTGATCTTTTAATCTGTTTTTTTCTCTCTATTTTTAATTCTTTATTTTTTAAAAAATGTATTTTTGTAAGCCGCCCGGAGTCCTTCGGGATTGGGCGGCCTATAAATTTATTAAATACTTAAATACTTGCTTCTACCAGTAATATAACTCCTTCTTCTTGTTTTTCTGTACTACCCTGTGCCTGGTGCATGTCTCAAACAAGAAGCGGGTAATGTCATGGCCTGGCAGGGTTCAGACATCAGGCAAATACCTGTGTTGCTAGGCACCCAGTCCCCCCCCCCTGGGTTCCTTGGTGATTGGTTAGCATGAGCAAGAATGAAAGTCTGATTTCAGTATGAATGTGAGTGTATGTCCCCAATGCCCCGAGGGAGTGTTAAGTGGAAGGGATCTGGAGACCTGTGACTGCCTGTGTGTATCACCCTCCTTCCTCTTCCTTCTGGGTCATTATTTCAAGGGAAGCAGACAAGTGGGGGGGGGAGGTTCAGGTGTCTGCTCATTTTAACCATGAGTGTGTGTGTGAGATACCCCCAGCGAGACTTGTGAATGCCTCTGTGTTTTCCCCCCCTTCTGGGTCATTAAGGGGGGGCTGCGGTTTTTCTGCTCATTTTAACCATTTTTTTCCCTCTTCTGAGAAATTCGGGGCAAATGGATGACCTACTCGTGCACCTTTTCCTTTCACTGTTTTGATCTTTTTCATCTGCATATAAAAGCTATGCAGTTATATTTCCTTTTCTGCTCTGAATACAATTTTGATTTTTCTTCTGGAACTTTTTGAGGTTTAAAATGCTTAATTAAACCTATAAAAAGAAATGATTTTGAGATATTTTGCTTACATTTGTAAATGTTTTAACATACTTAATGAGTATTTGCTTCATTCTGAATGGAACTTGAATTTGACTCAACATACCTCATTAAGTTTGTTTTATTTTGAAGCTGTTTAGCTTGTTTTATTTTTGAAGCTGTTCTTCCTCCCTCCCGCTTTGATGTTGGAGTCAAAGTGCTCCATCCTATGTCACTGTTTGTTTGTTTGTCTCTGATACCTGCCTTTGGAGAATTTGCTTTCATCTGAATGGAATCTGATATTTTGGAGTGTTGACTCAAAGTGCCTCTTTTTGGATTGCTTGTTTTATTTTTTGAAGCTGTTCTTCTTCCCGCCTTCTTTTACGCCTGTGTGCATTTTTAAATGCTTATGAGTTAAGGTGCCCCACTGATATTTTGTTTGTTTGTTTGTTTGCAACACAAGTTGTTGGCATTTTGGGAATTATTACAGAGATGAGTTAGAAATTACAATATGTAGAAAGTCCTCTGGGATGGCAGTTGGTGCATCCTCTGTGCCTACCACCCCTCATAATAAGCCTGCAAATATCATGGTCCTCCAAATTATCCCTGCTAAATATGCATCCCTCATTCATCATGACAGAAAGAATTCTATCGTTTGAGAAAAAGGAAGAAAACTGAAGGGAACAGTTCCTTTTGAGCATTTGGTTGTTGGGCATTTGTGGCACATGTGCCTCTGTTAAAACATGTGCCTGCAGTCAGTTGTATCCTTCCTGCATTGGGATCTGGATCCTTCATTGATCCTTTTCCTTCTTCTATAAATTTCATCCCTGTTTCCTTCAGGAATTGGCACATAACTATACTCTATCTACTACCAGAGCAATCCTCACACCTTTTGTGCTGTTAATAGGCCAAATTAGGAAAACAAAGGAGGGGAAAGATAACAAAAAATAAACACTGCCAGAAAGGAATCTGTCTGATGTAAATCTAAATTAGGGTATATAACTGAGTTTTACAATGTAGTTAGATTATATGACTAAAGTAATTATAATACTAAGAACTTTGGCATAAAATTAAGAGAAGGAGTTTGAGGAATTGTGACAAGTAGAAAGTGGAGAGATAAATGGGTAGTATCTGATAAATGGCAAATGTTGATTTTGAAGATCAGGGGAGTCATGGGGATGGACTAAGGTATGATGTGATTTGTTTCTGGATGCTGTGAATTGTGACAAATATGTGAAATTTACTCACTTTACTGCAAAAGTCCTTCAATCAACCATAGAGGCAGTGGGAATGTCATGTTCCGTGGATTGCAAAATCGTCTGCCTTCTGAAATAATGTTTGGATTTCCACACTTGGACAGAGTGGGGAAAATTCCACAATATGAGACTAAAGACATGTCTGTAAAGAACTGTATAATTACCATATTTTTTCTGTTTCAAAAGTTTTATTTCTTTTAAGGCAAACATTTCATCATTCCTCAATCAGTAAGACATCGAAGTACAATTTNCCGACTAAATGGTTCCGCCCCAGGGGCCTGATGGACGCATTGGGATTTCAGAAGGAGCTTGGAGAGATACCTGACTCCCTTGCCCACAATCCGACAGAGTCCTTGGTCGCCGCCTGGAATACAGAGGCACTAGATTGGATTGCGCCTTTGCGGCCTCTTCGCGGCAGTGGATCCAGGAGGGCACCTTGGTTTACCGAGGAACTCTGGGAGATGAAGCACCAAAAGAGACACCTAGAGCGACGTTGGAGGGCTAGCAACTCTGAATCTGACCGAACACAACTAAGAGCCTTTATTAGGACTTATTTAGTGGCGATACGGGCGGCAAAATGTACGCATCTTTCCACTCTTATTGCGTCCACAGAATCTCGCCTGGCTGCCCTGTTTAGGATAATCCACTCCCTCCTGAAAGGGAGGATGCGGGGGAACCCTTACAGGGAAGAGCTGAGGAATTTGTTCAGTTTCTGTCGGACAAAATCACTCAGATTCGGACGGACCTTGACTCCACTTGGACAGTACCAGCGGAGATGCCGAGGGAAAGCCTTGATCAGACTTCTTGGAATGAGTTCCAGCCTGTCACCCCTGAGAAAGTGGACAAGGCGATGGGAGCGATGAGTGCCTCCACCTGTTTACTGGACACGTGTCCTCCTGGTTGGTCTCGACCAGCAGGGAGGTAACACAAGGCTGGTTCCAGAGGATCACGAACATGTCTCTGCAGGAGGGAGCTTTCCCGCAACATTTGAAAGAAGCGGTGGTAGGACTCCTCCTTAAGAGGCCCTCTCTGGACCCAGCTATCCTCAAAAACTATCGTCCAGTCTCCAACCTCCCTTTCTTAGGGAAGGATGTCGAGAAGGTGGTGGCCCTTCAGCTCCGGCGGACCTTGGATGAAACAGATTATCTAGACGCCTTTCAGTAGAAGCGGTGGGTGGCCT